ACCACCTCTCTTTGTTCCTGTTCCCCAAATATACCCCGGTCATCAAACGTGTGAAACCTACAATGAGAACTGTCAAAATCTGGCTGGAAGGTGCTGACTCCACTCTTCAACATCAATTCCAGCACACAGACTGGAGTGAGTTTGCTGCCCAGGCCACCACAAACTCTCAGATCGACATTGACACTTACACCAACTCTGTCCTGGAGCACATCAACAGGTGTGTGGGCAGAGTGACCACAAACAAAAAAATAAAAATTTTCCCCAATCTGAAGCCCTGGATGAACGGAGAGGTTCGCCTCCTGCTTAAAGCAAGAGATGCAGCCTTCAGGTCTGGAGACCGGGAGGCTTACAGCTCAGCCAGAGCCAACCTGAGGAAGGGTATCTGCCAGGCCAAACTCACACACAAACAGAGGATTGAAGAGCACTTCAATTCTTCGGACCCCCGGTGTATGTGGCAAGGCATACAAACTATCACGGACTACAAACCACCCAGCACTGTGCCTTCCTCCAGCTCTGCCTCCCTCCCTGACGAGCTCAATCAATTTTATGCTCATTTTGATCGAAATAATAAGGAGGTCTCCCTCAAAGCTCAGCTTCCACCCAATGAACTGCCTCTCACCTTACACAGAGTGTAGTAAACATCTGAGGTGGAGAGTGTGAATGCACGGAAGGCAGCTGGCCCTGACGGAATACCTGGTCGTGTGCTTAAAGCCTGTGCGGAGCAGCTGGCTGAGTCCTTCACGGACATTTTCAATCTGCCCCTGGCTTAGGCAACTGTCCCTACTAGTTTCAAAACCTCCACCATCGTGCCAGTACCGAAGCACTCCACTGCCTCGGCCCTTAATGACTTCTGTCCTGTCGCACTCACCCCCATCATTGCCAAGTGCTTTGAGAGGCTGGTTGTATCCCATTTAAAATCCTGACTCCCTGCTACACTAGACCCATACCAGTTTGCCTATCGCCGCAATAGGTCAACAGAAGACGCCATCTCTACGGCACTTCACTTTGCCCTCACCCACCTGGACAGTCAAAATACACATGTGAGAATACTGTTCATTGATTTCAGTCCTGCATTTAACACTGTAATCCCCTCCAAGCTGATCTCCAAGTTCAGCCAGCTTGGAATCAGCACATCCCTCTGCAACTGGACTCTAGATTTTCTGACTAAAAGACCCCAGTCTGTTAAGTTAGATAACCTCTCCTCCTCCATCATCACCCTGAACACTGGCGTGCCACAGGGCTGCGTACTGCGCCCTCTTCTGTACTCCTTATTCACCCATGAATGCGTTCCTGTTTATGCGTTCCTGTTTATGGCTCCAACACCATAATCAAATTCGCAGATGATACCATGGTGGTAGGTCTGATCAAAGATGATGATGTGTCAGCCTACAGGGATGAGTACAGCACCTGGCTGTGTGGTGTGCCACCAACAATCTGAAACTTAACACCCAGAAGACAAAGAAGATCATTGTGGACTTCAGGCGGACTAGGAGTCATGCACACACCCCCATCTACATCAGTGGAGTTGTGTAGTGGAGCGTGTGTCAAGTTTCAAGTTCCTTGGCATCAACATCTCTGATGACCTCACCTGGTCCCTAAACACCTCCACTCTGGTCAAAAAGGCGCAGCAGCGCCTTTACTTCTTATGGAGCCTTAAGAAAGTTCACCTGAGTCCCAGGATCCTTGTGGAATTCTACTGCTGTACCATTGAGAGCATACTCACAAACTGCATCTCAGTGTGGTACAGCAATTGCTCCACATCTCCAGCGTGTGGTGAACTGCTCAACGGATCACTGGCTCCCAGTTAACTACCATTGAGAACATGTATCACAAGCGCTGCCTGGGCAGCGCAAGGAACATCATCAAGGATGCCTCACACCCTAACCATGGACTTTTTACCCTCCTTCCATCCGGCAGGCATTACAGGAGCCTACGCTCTCGCACTAGTAGGCTCAGGAAGAGCTTCTTCCCCGAGGCTGTGACCCTTCTGAACTCCACACCACCAATCTAACTTGCACCTGCTCTCTTACTGCTTTGGTCACAGTACTTTACAAACATGTATTTGCACTACTCATATTTTGCACAGAATGTACATTGTTCAAGCTATTACACTGTACACTGTCTAACGTTGTTACTGCACAAAGCACAGTAAACAATTTCTATAAAAATATTATTGCACTACTGATATTTTGCATAGACTATACATTGTTTAACAATACTATTGTACACACAACCAACTGTATTTAGTACCACTGTTCTTACGTTGCTGCTGTTCATACTGTACATATAACCCTACATTGCACTCGTATTTATATTCTGTACATACTCTGCTTAATATTGTATACAGTGGGTACGGAAAGTATTCAGACCCCCTTAAATTTTTCACTCTTTGTTATATTGCAGCCATTTGCTAAAATCATTTAAGTTCATTTTTTTCCTCATTAATGTACACACAGCACCCCATATTGACAGAAAAACACAGAATTGTTGACATTTTTGCAGATTTATTAAAAAAGAAAAACTGAAATATCACATGGTCCTAAGTATTCAGACCCTTTGCTGTGACACTCATATATTTAACTCAGGTGCTGTCCATTTCTTCTGATCATCCTTGAGATGGTTCTACACCTTCATTTGAGTCCAGCTGTGTTTGATTATACTGATTGGACTTGATTAGGAAAGCCACACACCTGTCTATATAAGACCTTACAGCTCACAGTGCATGTCAGAGCAAATGAGAATCATGAGGTCATAGGAACTGCCTGAAGAGCTCAGAGATAGAATTGTGGAAAGGCACAGATCTGGCCAAGCCAGAGCCCTGACTTAAACCCAATTGAGCATCTCTGGAGAGACCTAAAAATGGCTGTTCACCAACGTTTACCATCCAACCTGACCGAACTGGAGAGGATCTGCAAGGAGGGATGGCAGAGGATCCCCAAATCCAGGTGTGACAAACTTGTTGCATCTTTCCCAAAAAGACTCATGGCTGTATTAGATCAAAAGGGTGCTTCTACTAAATACTGAGCAAAGGGTCTGAATACTTAGGACCATGTGATATTTCAGTTTTTCTTTTTTAATAAATCTGCAAAAATGTCAACAATTCTGTGTTTTTCTGTCAGTATGGGGTGCTGTGTGTACATTAATTCGGAAAAAAATTTACTTAAATGATTTTAGCAAATGGCTGCAATAAAACAAAGAGTGAAAAATTTAAGGGGGTCTGAATACTTTCCGTACCCACTGTATAGCAACTCAACTGTACATACTGTAAATTATAGCTTCACTTACTCTGCACTTATCTGTATATAAAACACTATTCTTGCACTTCTGGTTAGATGCTAACTGCATTCCATTAGCTCTGTACTTGTACTCTGCATAATGACAGTAAAGTTTAATCTAATCTAATAAAGTATATAATAATGCAATGCCTTTATCACTGCTTAGAATACTATGAAATATGTTGCTTGCCTTATTCAGTTTAAGAAGCCACATCAGTCAAGTGTTTGAAATAAATTCTTGAGATTAAGTTATGAAGTGAGTTTGGAGTAAAAACGTTATTAAATGTGGTATTTTCACGTGCTTTCAGAAGGAGCGGCATTTACTTCACAGAGCTGTTAGTTCACTGAGAAGCTACACAAACAACTTGAACTTATGAACGTGGTTTTGCGTAGCTCGTCAATGAACTATGGCTCTGTGTAGTAAATGCTGCTCCATCTGAAAGCAAGCACATGATGGAGATTTACTACTGATCACAGAACCGGCTTTACTGAGGGCTTACATGGTTATGTGCAGCCCTAATCGAAAGTCAAACACAATTTCCTTTATCTTAAAGACATTCAATTTAAAATTGTGGGTACAACTCCATTCAGTCAATGTAGATACCTCTTTTCTTTTGATAATAAATCAGCATATTAGGAACAGTTGTGGCCTAATGGTTAGAGAGTTGGACTTGTAACCCAAAGGTCATGGGTTCAAGTCTCGGTACCGGCAGAGATTGTAGGTGGGGGGGGTGAAAAACCAGCACTCTCTTCCACCTTCAATACCATGACTGAGGAGAAACCCTTGAGCTAGAACCAGACCAACTGCTCCCCGGGGCACCACAGCAAAAAAGAAAAGAAAATGAGAATGAAAAGAAAAAAGCTTGCCCACTTCTCTGGGTGTGTGTTCATGGTGTGTGTGTTCACTGCTGTGTGTGCGCACTTGGATGGGTTAAATGTAGAGCACATATTCCAAGTATGGGACGCCACACGTCTCGTCACTTTACTTTTAGAATGATAGAATCACGGAAAACAGGAGTAATGACTAATGAAAATTCAGCTTTGCATCACAAAAATAGGTTATATTTTAAAGTATAGTAAAATAGATAACCATTTTTTAAATTGTAATAATATTTCACAATTAGTTTTTTTTCTGTATTTTCAAATAAATCAATTTTATATATAAAAAAGTAATGTGTTCAAACTTTTGACCCCGTACTGTATAAGTAAAATATAAAAAATTTAAAATGAAATGTACAAATAAAAAGGTCAGGAATCATATTTGTTTCAAGTACTTTTTATTGGGGGGTGGGGGGCCTCCAACATGAATTTTGAAATGTCTAGAACCAGCCCTGGGTAATCATCATCATCATCATCAATTATTATTGCATTTACAGCCCTCAGCAGCCTGTTATTAGAAATAACAGTCTATAAAAACCAGATACAGATCAGAAATAAATGTAATTATTCTGGCAAAACATGTTTACACGTATACTTTTTAATTCATAAATGACAAAAGTAATAATTTGCAGCCACAATTCAGTAATTGCTCTGATTGACTAAACAGTATATATTTATACTTTGTTAAAACTAGCTTGAATGAAAAGCTATTTTAGAGCCTAAATAAATGTGAAACAAAAGTCCTTTGAAAACAGCACAAGACAGTATTGTTTAAGAGCAGTTACAATTTCATTTAGTAGTGACTCACAAGCAAAGGACTAGACAAAAAGGGAGTCAATCTCACACTTATGGTCTAAATTTTGATGCTAATGTTGCTGCTCCTCTTACTGCTGTTGCTGCTGGTCCTCCAGCTAGTCTTGCAGCTGTTAGTACTCCTTTTCCTATTCCTCTTAAAACAAAAAATGCAGCTCCTCCTGCTGCTGTAAATATTGCAGCTCTTCCTGTTAGTACTGCTGCTGTTGCTGTGTTTGCTGCTCCTCCTGCTGCTCCTGCTGCTGCTGCAGCTACAGCTGCTGCTCCTCCTGTTGTTGTTGTTGCTGCTGCTCCTCCTGCAACTAATGCTCCTGCTCCTCCTTCTTCTCCGCTGGCTGCTACTGCTAATGCAGTTACTGCTAATTTTGCTCCTTCTTTTACTACTTTTTTCAGTGTTTGTTTAAAAGCCTCCCATCTAATCTTGTTTTGAGCTAGTTCATACATCTCATTAGTGTAGTGCTGTCCTCCATTGATTCTTACCATTTCATCAATCTCATTCAGCAAATCAGTGACCTGATAGCGGTTCCCCATGTCTTCATTGTTGAATGAGTGAAATCTTCCACCACATTCATTAACAACAGCCTGTAGAGCATTGCTTTCACTGATATACTCATCTAATGGTTTTCCCCTCAGCTGATCAGCGTGAGTGAACAGAACGATGGTGTGATGTGCAGCATCTTCTCCAAAGTTGTTCTGAATCCATGTCACTGTGTTTCTCTCCTCTTCTGTAAATCTCACACCCAGACTGATGACCAGGAGAAACGCATGAGGACCAGGAACAGACATTTCTATACATCTCACTAATTCATTCTTCAGTTGTTCTTCACTGATTGACGTATCAAACAGGCCTGGAGTGTCGATGACTGAGATGACCCGGTTATCCATCTGTGCTTCTCCTCTCCCACAGGTTCTAGTAACTGACTGTGGTGAAACATCCTTCACAAAATGCTCTTGACCCAGGATGGTGTTTCCTGCTGAACTCTTTCCTGCTCCAGTTTTGCCCACCAGAATAATCCTACAATCTGATAAAGTAAAAGGAATGTATTGTTATATACTGTATATGGGGATATGCTTCAGCCCTCCTACGACCCACCTACGAGAGGATAAGCAGTGTAGAGAATGGACGGATGGATATGGTGTTATTTGTAAATTAACCCTCAAGCATATTTCAGGATAAATTTTGGCAAAATCTTTTTTCTTTTTTAAATAGTTTCCTTAATCTGAGCAGTACAAGTCTTGGCTACTTTTCCTAAGTCCACCTGAACACACACAAACCAAAAATTGACTCGATTCATCAAAGTGGTTGGGGAAAAAAATCTCCTTAATTTGTCCTTCGTGGACAAAAGTGGGCACCCATAGGAAATACAAAAATTAAAAGCATTTTTTTTTATTTGTCCAATAAAAATCAATAAATCCAACAAAATGCAGATCATACAATCACATAAATGAAGCGGTGAGCCTATACCACATTCTCAATGTGGCAAACACACTCACACTCCCTCTCTCTCATACACGTTTGTATTGGTGATTTATGAGACTCTACATAGGCATAATGGTTTTTATACTGTACAAACAGTACTTTATATTGCCCTACTCTAGGTCTGTGAATCTTTGGGTAGACAGCGAATCGATTCGATTCACGATTTATAGGTTTTTGTTTCGATTCAAGAACGATTTTTGCAAATTCAAAACGATTCGATTCGAGACAATTCGCAATTAAATTAGAATCGATTCATGATTAGTGCATTCGCAGGATTATTTAAATGCTTCCCCTAAATTCTTTGAATGCTTAGTCAGAGGGCAAATTACACAGAAGCCTTTATGGAGTCAGAGAAAGAAAAAGAAAAAAACACTTTTGTCCATTGTTAGATGCTAGTTTAATGATGCTATGGCATGACATGGCATATGTAGAAATTTATGTAAACCAAGATTTTTTTTAAAGAGCTTCAGGTGCATTGACATTTCAGTCACTTCTGAAATGATGGCTAATACAGTAATTTTATGAATGTATGTATATTTTTTTTCTTCAAGAAATTATTTTATATTCTCTTACTTTGAATTTGCTATAAGAAATCAAATACACTGTTGGACAATAATCAATCATTTGTAATCTATAATTCTTTCCTAATAGCAATTTTATCATTGGTTTATATACTACAATTATTTGAATTTTCTGCACAGAATAAGGTAGAAAATATACTTTATAGTTTCTGTAATGTAATAAATTATATGTTAATTTTGCACTGCATCATTCACAAACTATTTATTTATTGTGTTTATTGTCTTGACGTTTCACCAGTTCATTCTGCTTAGCTGCAGCGATAGATGCCTTTGTCCATATTAGGCATTTCCTGGCACGTCTTAAGTTCTATGAGCGCGAGATCAATTCTCTTTCAGTACGAAAACTTCTTTATCTCATTTTCATAAAATAAAATCCTATGGTATTTAACTTTTCCTCTCCATCGGCAAATGATGATTCTGAAAGAAAACGTGCCCGATGTCTGTTTGCTAGCAACAAACTCTACTTTCATGCATCTGATTATCAGATAAGCCTTGCGCTCTTATTTCAAGGTTGTTGTTAATGCTGTGGTTATTTTAACAGTTTCCTTCGTACATTTGGTTGAACGACATTGTTAAAACACATTTATCATTTAATGGAACAGTGCGTATGCTTCAGACACTTATTTTTGCTCTACCTGAGCAGTCGAAGGCTGCGCTTTTATTGCATGGACAATGTCGTCAGCATGACCGAGAGCCATAGAAAAGCTACAGAAAAGTAAAACTAGGCTACTTCACTTTAGCATTACTGGCCACGAATACTAAGGAGAGATCACACATCAGCTGCGTCAGTGAGACGAACTGAGTGCGAGCGCAATCTTGTGACAGTCACAGGTGGTAAATAGTGCAGCAGGAGAGATGCAAGGGCACGAACTGGCCACGAATACTAAGGAGAGATCACACATCAGCTGCTCAAAAAAAGTGTCAGTGAGACGAACGAGCGCAATTCTGTGACAGTCACAGGCGGGAAATAGTGAAGCGTGTGAAGGAGAGATGCAAGGCACGAACAACACTGTTCAAGGTCTCCATTAATTCCTGCTTGTAGTAATTTAATGTGTATATATTTTGAAAACACTGAATCGCTATAGAAATCGCGATTCATTCAATTATTAGTGTTTTAAATCGATTACTGTCTGAAATCAACAAGTGAATCGTTACACCCCTACCCAGGACCGCAGCTTGACGGACATCGGTAGCGCCGATCGCCAAAGCCCCACCATGCCCCTCACTTTTTAGCGCTATTATTTAGTGGAGTTTTTCCGTAAATTCCATGCATTACCATTAGAGATTAAAACGTCACATCTGAATTTGGTTTATCAATCAAATGCATTTATTATATATTTTACTTTTGAACGAACTGTGCAAGCAGCCTATCTATCAGGTGATCACTGCGCCTAATGTCTGCATTCACCTCTCTTCACTTCATTCTGGTGTAATCTAGAAACGGTCATGCAAAGAACAATCTTCGATAAGTAAAAATGTCCATATTATAGACATTAAGCAGTGGGGCATAATTCATTTTGGCAAATGCGCGCTTTAAGATGGTTTCTGATACGCGCGGAGCACACTTGCTTGTACAGCGCCTAAACTAAGGCCATGTCCACACGTACACTGGTATTTTTAAAAACAGAGTTTTTCCTTCTTCCGTTTAAAAAAAATCTCCGTCCATATGAAAACGCAAACGCATTCTTATGACGCACTGTCAAGAGCATGCCAAACCAACAGGTGGCGATATAAGCTCAACCGTAAAGCCATTTTGGCCAATCAGAAACCCGAAAAAGTTTCCAGTAGTTCCAAGTTGTTCTGAACCTATATGAATTTCTTTGTTCTCCTCAACATAAAAGAAGATATTTTGAAGAATATTCGTAACCACCAGAAAGTTTCTGGTCCCTGTTGACTCCAATAGTGTTTTTTTTCTCTCCATACTATGGAAGTCATGGGCGCACAGAAACTGTTTGGTTACCAGTAATGTTCCAAATATATACGTTTGCATCCAACATCAGAAGGAAACTCATACAGGTTTAGAACAACAACATAACTTTAATTTTTGAGTGAACTATTCCTCCAAAGCAGCCTAATATAGCTGCTGTTGCCATTTGTGTCAATAATGTAAATTAAACAAGAGAAAGAAAATCACTCACTGTCCTTGACAGAATCGCTTTTGTAAAATATTGTATATTGAATTTATACAGTGAAGACTATTCAGTCTGTTAAGGTGAGAGATGAATGAGGTGATGGCGAGCAAGGAAAAGTCGGGGAATGGCAGGTTGTAAGTAGAGTGAAATGCTTTAAAGCACTTCCAAGCTGTTAGGTAAGATTGGAGGGTCCTGGGGGAGACGGCTTGAAGAATAGAGTTGAGGGAAGCTTCGAGGAGAGGTCTCAATGGATGATTTACGGGAATATCAGTTCTGAATAGGGAGGTACTGGGGTTGGGACTGGATCCGCCTCTGGTGCCAATGTTCTGAATTTCTGGAAGGCAAAGTGAGAGAGTCAGCTATTTGGTTTTTTGAACCAGGAATATGTTTTGCAGTTACAATGAATTGGTCGCAAGCCGAGATCCAAATCAGGTGTCTTAACAAAGGCATTAGGGCGGGTGAATGGGAACTGCCTTTATTGATGCAGTGCACGGTAGCCTCGTTGTCGCAGTGGATAATGATGCTGGTGGCGGACCACTCCTTACCCCACAGAAGGGCTGTGAAGACTAAGGCATATAGCTCGAATAGAGCTGAGGATTTTAGCTGCTGTGGTAAGTCTAACAGCTGGGGGGGCCACGTAGATGCAAACCAGCGGCCTTGGTAAAATCCTCCGAAACTGATGGAGGGGGCGGCATCAGTAAATAACTGAATGTCGACTGGGAAAGTAATTAAGTTATTAGAAAAGAAAGATAGGCCGTTCCATTGTTTAAGAAAGGATACCCATAAGCTGAGCTCGTTGCAGCACGAGTCAGTTAGTGATATTTGATCCTCAAGTGCGTGGACAGAAGACGTGAGATATCTATTTTTTCCTTCGGGCAGAGAAGCCTGGAATTTTTATGAATCTAAGTTGATACCCAAAAATTCGATGCAGGTGCTCGGGCCCACGGTTTTGTCTTGGGCGAGAGGAATCCCGAGCTCAGCAAAAACCTTTTGGGTTGTCAAAAGATGTGTGGCTGGGATGGAGTCGGGAGGCGAGATGATTAAGAAATCATCTAAAAGATGGATCAGGGAAGGTATTGCATAATTGTTGGAGAGGATCCAGCATATTGCCTCTGACAACATGTCGAAAATTTTAGGGCTGCTTCTGCAGCCGAAAGTGAGGCGGACGGAAAAGTAAAATTTATCATGCCAGCAGATGCCGAATAAATGCCAAAAATACGGGTGAATGGGCATCACTTTAAAGGCAGAGGTGATGTCGACTTTGGCCAGCCAAGCGCCAACAAGCAATTCTGAAGACAAACGAGAAACATTTACAGGAGTCGATAAGTATTGTTTAGCATTTTTATTTGCAGCTTTTTGCACTGGACATATCAAGCGGGCGTGAGCACCGCCACAAAAATTGCAAACATGCATGAAACGGCAGCGCTGCCTTGAGCATCTGCCAGTATTAAAACTGCCACAGACCTGGCTATCAGAGGACCTGGCTATCAGAGGGATCTGAGCAGTGGCGGTAGTTGGAAGTGGGTGGGAATGGGGTGGTTGGAATGGCTAGGAGACGCGGGACGTAGCTGGTGGATTTGGGCTGGGATGGCTCGGGGCAGGGGGGAATAGATGGGTTGTAATGGTGGAGTGGGCAATGGATCGGCAGACTGCGCAAGATATGTTGCGGCAGCCTAAAAATACTCTGTTATGGAGTTCGGTGTCCAAAGCCCCCCAGTAAGGACATTGGTTCCACTGGGCCACTCAGATGGCGCATTTAGCTGCGAATCATTTGTGGTAGGTGTAAAAGTGAGAGCCGCCGTATGATGACGCGAGTTCAGCGACTATCG